GGCAGGAGGAAGTGATGTCAGTGAGCACTAGTTTATTTACTGGCATCACCTAATATGATTTTTTTTTTTTGGTACTGGCCTGCTACTCTCCACGTAGCATCTGGCTGGAGTGTGCGTTCCAGGATGATGCAACAGCTGGGTAACCATTAGAAAACACTCATCTGCTTTTCCTCTCTAACTTTCCAGATGTCACATCAACTGGCACAACCATGACAGCTGACTCGCACCACATCACACACAGAGACATCGCACACACATATGTCCTACGCAAACGAAGCGACAGACAGTAAGAGGGAGAGGACGAAGGGGAAAGAGATGGGATGAGCACAGAGAGACAACTCATTCTTTCATCACACTCACACACTCATTTCCACATGGTCTTATGATAAGAGCCAAACTTAGTACTTCTAAGGGCGTGGTTGCATGCCTGCATTTATAGCCTGTATCTGACAGCAGTTAAATAAAATACAAAAATAATAATAATAATTGTCACATTTGCTCCTTATTCACTGGGATCAATCAAAGTAATTACATTTAAAAAACCTTTCAGGCACTTGTTGCTTTGATTTTTTTGTCTGGTTGGTATTTGTCTGGCAGACATGAGACAATGCATCTAATGTTTACAACAGCCGAGGCTGATTGTCCAAATATAAACAGCACTCAGTAGTTACAGTAGCTTCAGCACTTACAGGCCCTTAGGCTAAACAGACAAAGAACAGAGCAATAGCTGTACTAAATTAAACTCTGGTCACTCTGACTGATAGTATAACCAATATTGTAGCTTCACAAAGAAAGCAAAGATGGTATGTGATGTTCTAGAGTACCTTGAAGGTATAAAACCAATAAAAGAAAGTATACTGGCACACAAAACAAACAGCAAAGAAGCCTATTCTTTCAATAACACCAATGGAAGATCTGTGAGGGCTTTCAGATCAATGTCAATAAATAATAGGTCAGAGACACTGAATCAGTCTCGCAAGCTTAGTGATGTTTTTGTGCAAAGAGTGCAAAGGACCCTGAGGGGTGCAAATCAGGGGAACAAACTCAAGACAAGATGGTAACCTTTGGACAAACAGACAAAGGCTTTTCTATCCCCCAATGGTTTTAGTCGACTACATACATACAGACATGAAAGCATGTAGTGGAGAACTACAATCTATTGTTCTTCTAAAAACAAGACAAAAGGAGTATCCCAGCTCTTGTTGTGATATAATAATATACCAGACAATTTCCACAAGAAAAAAGATTCTGTCCATAATATGAGATAGGTTTTGTTGCTCTTGGGAGAAAAAAACAAAAATTATGTTTTTATTTCCTTTTAAAACTTTCCACTGGTGACCACTTGTTTTTAATAGAATTTACATTCAATAATTTTAAAACATGATAATTGAAATAAAATAACTGTGGAGCATTTTGTTTCACGATAATGCTCTTATTTTGTTTTTCAGCAAAATCTCCTCCTTTCTAATTCCTTCCCTGCCAGGCAATGACAGATTTGGTGCACATTTATTTATGTTTTCAATTTAGATTTATTTAATTATAATAAAAGTACCAAGAAATCCTATTTTAGAAAGACTATTTTTTTCCAAACTCTAGGCAAAATTGGATTAATTAGTTGTGATCTCAACACTGACAAAAATAATAAACATAACAGCTCAACAACATAAGTTTTATTGTGTTGCACATAATATAATGCACCATTCTAATACATGAGTATGACACCGTTGTCAAACATGTTTAGTCTAATGTCTAATGTAAGAGAAATAAGTCTATTGGTATCGATAGCACTAAGTTACAACACTTTGAATAACAAAGGCAACCAGTCAATAAATTTGATTTTATTTAAGAATAATTCAATGATACGGTACATCAAAAATGTTCTTAAGAGAACACAAAAGAAGAAGCTATGGCTGATTCAGACATACCATTCTGTGATATTTTTATTGTTTGTGACATGACATTGGCCTGCTTAAACTTCTTCTAATAAAGGAAGAATAGCCAGTAAAATCAAAACACTGCCTTTCCAAATTATGTTAAAAGGTACCTCATCACAGTCTGATATAAAGCCGGATTTTACAGAGTATATTTTGACATCCATGATAAACACTTTGGGTTTATCATCATAAAAAGGCTGAATGCAGTCTGACAGTGTGTATTTCAGCCAATGATGCTCTTCCAACATCCAAACCCTGCTTAAACACCAGGAGCAAAAGAAAAAAAAAAAAACAAGAACTAAGCCAAATGCCAAATGAGAATGAGCATCTTTTAGACACACACGCACACACACACACACACGCGTACATCTAAAGTAAACAAGTGTTTAATATTCCATTTAATCTCAAACTGAATTATATATCGAACAGCATAAGTATGTATTAGTATGTAAGACCTTTCTAAACATTTTTAAGGCTATACTCATGCTTTCTTAAATATGAATGTAAATATTAGTATAAATAATTTGTGACAATAAATAACTCAAGAATAATCAACTGCCTCTCCAGTGACTTTATCATCCAATGGATCGCCCTGCCCTGCTGTTTGTGACCGTATCCCTTGTTCTTTATCTGCAGTTTTAGTGAGCTCAGTAAAGATGCACATAAACCAGCATTCTACTAGCTGGTTGTGGTTAAAAGTGGCCAGCTTACAGCATATCTCCAAAGTAGAAGGAGGACTACCATCATGGTGAAGTTAACACTGAAGATAAAACTGAGAGATAAAAGATTGACTGGAGAGACAGTAATTAATCAGTCTGCTAGCAGGAAAGCACAAGGTACTGCTGACTGTCAAAATCAGATCAAGGTGATTGCTCACTAGCTCTGTTACATGGATATATAATTTTTAAAAACACATTGAACTGCCATATATAACTGGCTGGCCTTTAATATCAAGCAGCAACCTACAAGTGAAAAAACGTGTGCAACATGCCAGTGTGGTAAAGTTCACCCAAAAAGCTTGGTGAGAGAAATCCTAATATTCTGTTAGTCTGTTAATTTGCTCTAATTGGTAGCATTAGCTGATAACCTTGAACTGCCAGAATAACTGCCATATTTAACCACTGTGGTTAATAAAGCAATGTAAATGTGTATGTAAAAACTGGACTTCATTCTTACATATCTTACCTGGTTCAAAAATAGACTATATACCCACATTAATCTAATGTGACAGAGTCATAGCACCATGGAAGGACATAATAAATCATTATGGGCAGTGTAAGTCAGCAGAAACTTGGGTGCGCGTGTGCAGCTATGGCTTTATGTGTAGTTGATGTGGCTTTTACATGCAGCATGTGGGTGAAAAAGAAACTGTCCAATGCAGCAGAAAAGACCATATGGTGTAGAAAAGCAGCCACACACACACACACACACACACACACACCACATAAGCCATCGGCAAGAGGAACAAACAAGCAAACACCATCATTTAGCCAGCATCCATCCTGACTGCTTCAGTGTTGTTACCAAACACAACCCAGCACACCCTGGCCTTAAGACATAAACCCACCACATGCTTACTGACCCCTTCAAAATGAACTATAGCCCTCCTTATGGAAATTTAACCTTTATAGAATGTGAAGAACAGGATTAATGGGAAAAACAATAGTATTATTCATGTTGAGTGGAAGGAGGAACATCAGCACCCTGGGCAATCCTTACAGTAATATAGATATGCTGAAAAAGAGATTATTAATAATCCAAGAGAGTTAATGATGCACATGCCCTGAAGCATAGTCATTTTCATGTGACTCTTTCTCTGAAGCATGGGTACACTACATTTTTCAGAAACAAGGTCTGGAGGCAGCTTTCTAATAGGGAATAAGAAAAATAAATTGTAAATAAAAAAAACAACATGAATTACCTATTAAACTTCCAGAAATAAATATTTAATTACAAAAAACTGAAACTTTTAACTAACTAATTATTCATGTAGATAGTTCTACCTATTTTAGCATCAAGAGGGCACAACATATAAACTCCATTTACATAAAAAACATATTGCAGTCCTTTCAAATATACCTTTGGTCTGATGACTGCTCTAATGGCCCCGCATAGCCCCTGCTGAGCAGATAATGACTAACCCATGGCCCTTTAACAGGAACATTAGTATTTGGCCAACCCTGCCACTTTGATTATGGTGCCAACATTTATCCTGGCTGTAGCAATAGCTTCAGTAGCAGATAAAAATAGTGAACTCTCTCACTCTTGCACTTAGAAGGGAAAAAAAACATAAACATTAGCATAACAGGACAATCAGGAGTTGGCAGAGGGAAAGATGAGAATAGAACATGTTCAAATATAAGATTGATATCTAGTGGAAAGAAGTATCAAATGAAGGAAACTCAGAGGGGAGTATGTTACACACCAAAACAGATGTGTAATTTCTCTTTCTGTGAGAGGTTAAATGGCATATCTTCTTTTCTTTTCTTTTCTTTTTTTTTTAAATCAGACACACCCTTGATGTTCCATAACAAGGGAGAGGCAGATGATTGTATATATATAAAATGCTCCATGCTTGTTTTTGGGTATTTTGTCTGGTATACTGTGCTGTCTCTCCCAATTTGTAACCACAGACTTCGCTATTCACCTCTCTTGTTTTTCCCTCTGACACCACACGCCAGCATGAGCATTACCAGGCAAGGCTATGTCACTCTCATAACCCTTTTAACGTTTCTACTCTGGCAGATTACAAAACTGAGATTCACTTCTATTTTTAGCAACAGGCTCCCAATTACAAAACTTTTAACAACATCTTAAATACAACTGAATACAATCAGATACAATCAGTTCAAGACTGGCTTGTTTTCTGTCACACATAACACTCCTGGGCCACTGAAGTAAAATGAACTCACTTCCTAAACTTCCTACTATACACAATGGCCGTGGGCAGGCTGAGTAAGAGTCTCCCAACTTGAAACAAGAATTTAAAATATTACTGAAGGATATACTATATGCATACAAATTACTCTTTGAACAGTAGATTGAGTTAAGATGGTGAGAAAGAATATCAGGGTGAAAAAGCTCAATGAGTATGGTAATTTACAGCAGTGCACATTAAATGTGAGTTGATCAAACAGCACTGATAGTCGAATTACTGCAAGAAGCTTCTAGATTTTCTTTCTAAAGAAAAATAAAACTCAAAAAAGCTATGTTTTAAGTGTAATAGACAAGTCTGTAGTCAGGCTCGGCTGTAGTTTAGCTTCAGTCAGTTTGCTGCTTCCTCTCCGAAAGTGCAGCAACCGTCCTGTGACACTGACACAGTTTTTAAAAATGCAACCGCCAGTGGAGCCAACAACCCTGCTGGCAGCCACATTTGTGGGGAGAACACAGGAAGAAGGCGGAAAAAGGGGAGAAAAGGGAAAAGGAGCAAAACTGGATTGGATGGTATTATCTGCACATTCTTTTGGCTCGAACCCAAGAAATTTGAATTCTTACAGCTGAGGGAGGAGACTAGCAAGACACACTGATGTGAAACACGTAGCTGTCAAAGAACATCTAATCGGGTTATAAACTCAGACCAGAGCTGCAAGTGACTTTCACCAGCACCTTTGAGTCTACTGGATGAAATTAAAGGGCAAAATATAGCTGATTACATAAAATAAAACAGCTTCTAATGCTGTGAATATAAATATTAATTTTAAATGTTTTGAACAGTTGTGAGGCTTTGATTGATATGCATCTGCCTCTGGCATTTGTGCTAAATTGGTAACAGTAATTAAACAATAATTACAATATTTTTGCATTGATTTCTAGCATCAAGTACCATTTGCTTATGAACAGCCTGTCAAGAGTTATCAAATTACCATATGGCATTTAAACTAAAGAATTTGCTGTTATTTTCAAAAGTTTTACAGCTAATGTGATGATGACAGCAAAAAAATCAAACTCAACACAAAGAGAGCGGATGCATGCAGGCCAGCTACATCTGCCCCACGAAAACAAAGCCTCCACACAGAAGAAGAGGAGGGGGGTCCGTTATCGGAAAACACTCGGCAGTTGTCTTACTTAGAGCAAAACCTGCCCATAAAATCTACCTCTTAGACAATACAAACTAAAAGAAGATCCGAGGGGTAGCATGTTTCCACTAAGATAAACAAAGCGTTCAGTGTGACCGACCTTCATTGATGTGCATCTTGTCTCGATTAGCCTCTGTCTGGCTACAAAAGGATGCAACTACTGGATAAAATCAGGTCAGTAGTAAACAATAGTATTGATCTGGAGTGAAGCAGTATGTGGTCGGTGTTTTTACAAGGGCAGCAAAGTGGCTATAGTCTGTGCGGCTTACAAAGGTGGAGCAGGGTAGGCTTGTCATGCCGCTGCTGACAATAGTAGCCATCCCGTTAGCCAAGAGGGAGTCAGACCAGTCTGTATAGTCGTTACAAGAGCCGGAGTGTTTTTTGTTTCCTAAATTTTACTCAGATTTAATACAGATTTAATGGTTTGAAAATTTGGGAGAATTTTCTATGAGCTCACTGAAAGAGGAAACTGACATCAGTGGACTGCAGAAGGAAAGCAAAAGCGACTCTTTATATTTTTTGTCTGCCGCAAACTTCACGTGAGTAACGGTCAACCACCTAGCTAAAACCATACTACGGACTGTCCACTGTATACTGTTCGCTAAGAAAAAAAATCAAGTACACTCCACACTTACCCTTTCCTTAAAGATGTTTTTTGCTCTGTGACTCCGTGTGGAGCCCAGCCCTGTCGTTGCTGCAGTTCAGTCTGGCTCTATGCGGTGGCCTTCTCTTCCTCCGTTGCTCAGCAATAAGCTACTGACTCCCTGCAAAACAGCGGCGAGCGGACCAGCATCCTGAAAGAGGCGTCGAAGTGGCAAATAGGCCAATCGCTGCCTCCGGTCAGACGTTTCAAAATAAATGTCAAAGAAACAACAGGATACTCAGATTTGCGAGTTGAGGCGTCGATCATAATTTAAGTGGTGTTTTAAGTTTTATTCATACCGCTGTCGCAGTATGGAAATCTGCTTCCGCTAAAAGGAAGTTGAGGTAGTTTTTAAAATTTTTTTATTGCTATTCTTAGTCATCATTTCAGGGTGTTTTTTTTCCCCTCAAAATTAACTGGAAATTTTACGTTATTTTCTCGATTTATGTCATTTTGGAGTTATTTTCTCTGACTTTTTTCAGATAAAAACCTGACATTTTGATATATGGATGGCAAATAATGTTGGGTTTTTTAGTGGTGGAAACGGGCTTCCATAGTAGATAGCAATTTTTCAGTTTTGTTTTTTGTGATATGATGTGATTGTGATGTTTTTAGTTTGCAAAAAGAATAGGTTGAATAGAATGTACAGAATGTATGGTAATAAAAAAAATGGTAAATGATAAAGTTCATAAAACATCCTTCTTCTTAGAGAAATTAGGATTAAAAGACAACATTCATTCAACATTCAGACAGCAGTTCACCCCGAGTGATTGTGTCACTGCCAAACAAGCCCGTCAAGTATGGCCTAAAGATCTTCTAGGTTTGTGATACATGCATCCCCTATGCAATCTGAAATGGTTAACATAGGGAAACGAAAATGGAAAGAAAGGATAGAAGTTGATAAGAATCTGGGTGAAACCATTGTCCAGCAGTTGTGTAGTAGATTCAGAAAGACAAGAAGCAACATTGGCACAGATAATTTTTTTCCTCCAGTGTACTCTTTCACCGTGCCTCCTGGAGACACTTTTATGGGGACTCTACATACATCCTTTATCTGATGAAGGCTTCTGAGTCCAGGGAGGCTTACAGCACAGAGTTTGCATTCAGTGGCAGCTTTACCATAGTCAGCTATGTCAGCAGAAAGAAATGGCTGTTGTACTCCTGAGCATGATGCATCACAACAAAATGGGGAATGAAAATACCAGAAAGGGGAAAAAACACTAATTAATCAAATTTTATAACTAGACCAAAGGAGGTGTAGATACTATGGACAAGATGGTTGGCACCGACACCTGCAAGTGTAAAACATAGAGATGGCCCACGGTGCTGTGTTACAACTTCACATTGCCACCCTGAATACCTACACCTTTTTCACAGGTCAGCACCCTGAATTCAACAATGGTATTATCAGTGCTTGACAGATCTTCCTCATTGAGCTCTCAAAGCAGCTTGAGACAACACATATGAAAAAATGAGTTAAGGTTGCCCCCCAACTGCAAGGTGTGTGACTTTCACAGTTTAAACGCTGTCTCCCCAGAAAGCATTTAAATTACTTTTTTAAATTTATTTGTGTATTTGATACTATAATAAACTTAATATTCAGAACTACACGCACAACTATAATCTCATGATCACCTGAGTTAAACCAGAGGTTCAACCAAAGTCTTTCTCTTATGAGTTTCAACTAAAAAGTTCAACATGTTGTTCTAACTTATAAAGCCAAATTGTGTGCATTGTGTCCCTATCGATCCTTTTATATTTTTGGATATATGAAACCATTCTTTGACAAAATATGCATGTAATAACCTGTGTGTATTTTGAATAATTTATTATATGGGCAAAGTTAAAAAAAATAATAATAAAGAAAAAGAAACTTGTATTTACAGTAATACCATATTTATGGAATTACTGTACCCTAGACCCAATGCTACTAAAAGCATTATAGAGATAAAGACTGATATCATAGATTAAATTATTAAAAAATATAAGTAAGAAAGACATGACGAGTCTTTTTTAAAGCCATAAACCACTATAGCACTTTCCCAATAAAATTCCAAGCTCTTGCATCCTTCTAGGAATGAATGCATTTCAGGCACATGCCTGTATGTTAACACGTTTTCCACTTATAGATAGGTCAGCTGCTGGTGCAGTTGCAGACTAGTTCGTGATTCAAGGACTACAGTGTGAAATAAAACGTTACAGCCTATGAATACACACAGATATGGATTATTGTAGGACAGTCGCTCAGACTAACAATGCTCTCCAGATGGTAAAGTAGCTGACTGTGTACTGAGTGACTCAGAGGATTACACCGCATGTGAACCTCGTCTAAAATTCAAAATCCTGCGTTTTATTTTTAAAAGCGGATGTAATTTCCTGTATTAGTGGAATTTCTCTGCCCAGCTTGACGGAGTTCATCCTCGGGAACGCCTGCGTCCACAACTGCAACCGTGGATGCTTCCAACTCAACCAGAAGCGATGTCAGCCAGAACCGGGTGGGCGGGTTTCCTGGACTCGCACTGGTTACGTTCCGGGGTCTTTTGTTACAGTACCACCACCTGGACTGTGCAGAGGTCATGCTGATAATGAAGGCTGTACCTGCTGCATGATATCCAGGAACCAAACTACTAGAGATTATCAAACGAATTAGGGATGTAGCACCACAAGAAAAACATCCACCGCTTTTAAAAAATATGAAATTAAGGAGGTCGATTAAATGGCAGTAACATATAAAAGATTCATATTTGTTTTGCTTTAAAAATGTGAGCTCAAAATGGAAATGCTCATTGCATAAACGTGAGAATTATACTTCTAAATTAGCATTACAGCCTGTTAGTTAATTACATGTTTGTATGTATTATATTATAATATTTAAAATACATTTTCAGATGAATTAAAAATAAAATATAACAATAATATATGTAATAAAATGTATGTTATCTGATACTGTCTATGATTTTATACCGTCTAAAAATTCAAACTCGAAAACGGTTCAGCCCTGTTTTGTCTGACACACTGACGCAATGACGCCCCCTCCCTGTTGGCGTAAAGGCACTCGTTTTTATGTATTGCAGTGCCGCCGGGAAAAGCGGAACGTTTTTTCATGTTTATTTTTGAACTGTACCCTTTTATGTATTATTGTTAAAATATTATTTCTTCTTTATTTAATGGTTGTTATTTAATGATTTCGATTGCATAGGACATTTGTAAGTTAGAGTTTAATTTTATTTTAATTTTAAGGTTTGATCTAGCGTGACGTGGTGACTACAACATTGTATTAAGTCGTAGCTTTATGTATTGGTTACATTTTATACCCTAATTCTTATTTATTTGATATGATATTAAATGCGCTGAGAGAACAACACACTTTTAAGCTTTTTAATGGGTTTACTTTATGTTAACGCGACGGGAGATTTCGTTTACGGGGGGTACGATAAGAGAAATCGAACCGCCCCCGGCCGTTTGAAGCAGGAGCAGTAATACGCTGCAAGTGCAGCAGCTCTTAGCGAATGGACATGCAACATGGACGATCCGCGGGACGTTCAAACTTCCAAGAAAAATGGGGGCTCCAGGTCATTGTTTTTGGCCGGCTCCGCGGTGGATATGGAGATTAAACGAAAGAAAATACGACAGAGTACTTTATTCCTACAAACAGAGGTATGGGCGGTACGACAGTGATTGTTTCGTATGATTTACCCAATGGAGTGGGTGCAAAGTGCACGTCAAACACGCGAATGCTGATCTTTTTAATTCACATGGCTTTAATAACATAGTTTCATGCGCTGCTACTTGACTTGCTAACGCCCTTCTCAAGCTGGATTTCAACCCTCCAGGGCAAAGTTAGTTCGGGGGCAGTGCCCCTTTGTCAATATTCACTTCCCTGAAACCATATCCGTGTACGCTGCATCATCATTGTATGTTTGCTTCCTTCTGCTCCAACTAATCTCCCTGCAGGCAAAGAACATGCAGCCGTGCCCTAGTCTTCTGAAAGACACTCTCCAGATAGTAGAGGATATGAATTTGTTGTACATACGACAGATTTCTAAGAAGCTACAGGTGCATATTGTTGATTGTGATATGGAGAATGATGATCTTTGTGTTATATTAGATGTGTTTATAACAGACATCATCAAACTTCATTTAGTTAGAATGTGTCTGCTGCATGCCTACCAGTTTTCACTTGTTTTGTGCTTTTCGAAATGCCAATCGTACATTTCCAAACTTCATCTTTGCCATTAAAACTGCTACCCGAGACAACTTATTAATCTCATTCAGCTGGCATTACCATCTAACCCCTTCATGCATGCATCATTACGTCACCGAAAGGTTGGTCTTGAGTTTGTGATTTCAAGCTTAACAAGTAATTTGAAACATCACCAGTGTATCATCTTATCATCTTAACTGTGATGGTAGTTACTAGTGGGGCTAATGTGTCAAATGATTGCAAGTCCACCAAAGGGTCCAAAAATTGTAGGGAAATCAGTTTTTCACAAAAAATGCTTAATATTGAGATTCCAGCATTCCTACAAAGGAATGTAAATGTATAAAAAGTTAAAAGTATTTCTAAATGTTGATTAATTATTTGAGGTCTGAATCAGTTTTTATTGTAATACATGAGCAGATTTTTCCTAGATCTTTCATCTGACATATGCTCTCATTAAAACAATAAATAAAAAGACTAAAACTAAATAAACAATAAACACTAAACTGAAAAAATAAAACTAACTGAAAGTAAACTAAAAGAATAACACCCAAAAGGTTGAGTCTGTTCATCTGGACAAAGAATAACAAAAAATTAGCAGTAATTAAAAATAAAAAATAATTAGAAAATACCATGAAATATTGACTGGTATGGCCCACTTGTGATCAGATGTGTTTGGACACCCTTGGGCAAGAAGATTTCCCAACCGCCATGCTGTTTAAGATCTGTCCTTTGTATTAAACCCAGAAAATGTTAGTTCTGTTGGTGCCAGAGTGACCTTGGATTTTGTTTAACAACTGCTTTTCTTTAAAAATACCATATAAGGTAAAAACATGAAAAGAAATGTAGGTCTGCTGTGTCTTAAGGCAATAAAAACAATTAAATAAAACTTCAATGAAACAAAATACAAGTTATCATATACACAAACAGATGTGCGCACACAAAGAGCTGTTAAGTTTAAGCCTATGAGAATAAAGGTTTTAAGTTTGTTTTTGAATATAGACCAAGTTCCAATTGTCCTCAGGTCAGCTGGCTGCTTGTTCCAAACATCATCACCACAGTAACTGAAAACACCCTCAGCACGCTTCTGTCCAATTCTGGGAACAGTTAAAAGATCTGCACCTGATGACCTGAAAGGTCTAATTGGGCTATAAACTCTGAGGAAGTCAGAGGGGGTAAACCACTGAGTGCTTTATAAGCTACACAATGTGAAGTGGACTAAAAGACTGAAAGAAAATTCTGGTAATCTGAAAAGCAATTTCCTATGAAAAAAGTTTGCATAACTAATGAAAACCTTTGCTGTGATGCCGCTCATGTCCAAGCTTTTGTTGTCTGATGCACTAACACAATAGAAAACGTCATAGAAAAGTTGCCAGTCTGTTCTTTTTTGACACTTGTTCATTCTTGTCTGTCTGTCCACAAAGACAACTAACATACAGGAGAAACTTGACTTTGAGATGAGAATGCGAGAGGGGGCCTACAAGCTGCTGCTCGCTTGCAGTAAGAGAGAACAGGTACTAAATGCTTCCAAGAACATGTTTACCTGCAACGCCCGGATAAAGGCATATCTCTGTCAGCTGCAGAAGCAAAAAGAGGAAGAGGACATGATGGGGGGAGTCGGCAGGTAGGGAGATTGATGCTTATGGCCCAGTCTTCTTCAGTTTGAGTCTACATTACTGGTGTGTGTGTGTGGGTGAAACAATTGTCCTGTCACTAATGAAAGAACTGAGCGGGTTTTGGACAGAGGTTTTTAAAATGTATTTTAATCCATCCATCCATCCATCTTCATCCGCTTTATCCGGGGCCGGGTCGCGGGGGCAGCAGCCTAAGCAAAGAGGCCCAGACCTCCCTCTCCCCAGCCACCTCCTCC